CCATTAGGGCATGGTTAGGCACACCTATAGCCAGCTTCTAGCAGGCATGGCTTACACTGTCACCTACATACATGCCATAGGAGGAAGGGTAATGAATCCACTGGGTGCTAGGAACCCAGCCCATGCCCTCTGGAAAAGAGCAGAAGTGCTCTACCCCTTCCCAATGCTTTCTATGGGTTGGCGGGTGTCTTAATGTTTCTGTTGCTGTGAAGACACTCTATGACCAAGGCAACTTTTATAAAGGAAGACATTTAGTTGGAGCTAGCTTACAGTTCAGAGGCTTAGTCTGTTACCATCGGTGGGAAGCATGGTGGCATGGAGGCAGACATGGTGATGGAGAGGTAGCTGAGTGTTCTACATCTAGATCCACAGGCTGCTGCAGGAAAAGAAACCCCAAAGCCCACTCCTAGTGACATACTTCCTCCATTAAGGCCACACCTCCTAATATTGCCACTCCCTATGGGCCTATGGGGGGTGTTTTTATCCAAACTTTGTTTTTCGAGACAGGGTTTCTCTGTGTAGCTTTGGAGCCTATCCTAGCACTTGCTCTGGAGACCAGGCTGGCCTCGAACTCACAGAGATCCGCCTGCTTCTGCCTCCCGAGTTCTGGGATTAAAGGCGTGCACGTGTGTCTGCTTTTTTATTTTTATGTAGTCTGGATGAGAATTTGTGTCCTGCCTCAGATTCCCAATGCTAGAATTATAGGCCTGTGTGACCACAGTGGCTTTAAAGCACCCAGTGTTCATGAGATATTGCATCTTCCCTGTTATTAAGGTGTCTGAAACTCAGAAGCATTTTCTTTCCTTATCTATTTATTTCTGAGACAAGGTCTTACTGTGTAGCTTGTTGGTACTTGATATGTAGGCTGGCCTTTCCTGCCTCTGCATCCCAAGTGCTGGGATTAAAAGTGTGTGTCAGCACACCTGGCCAGGAGGGATGAATTTAAAGATTAGTGTACATTTACCCTCAGATGAACGACAACAGCTCATACCTGTTTTGTGCAGAGTGTGCAGGCCACTTGGAGGCATAAGGATTGCTCTGACCTTTGAGGAGAAAACAGAGGACAGCTGGGCCACCATGGCAGGTCACCTCTCATGGCCTTGGGCTGCACAGCCCTATGGGCCTTTCTTTATGTGTCCACAGATTTGGTAGAGAAGTAGGAAGAAGGCTCTGGCTGATCATGAAAACAGGCCCTTCACTTCCTGCATCTCCAAGTTTTGGTGTGGAACATAAGGTTCTGCCTTACTTGGTTTGAATTAATCCTGTGGGGACTGCTGATAGGAAGTACTGATTGTGGCTGTTGATGTTTTTGCCTTTTATTTTGGTATAAATGTCTACTGAGTCAGCCACGCAAGCTGCTGTTTGGGATCAATGTCAGGCAACCAACCAACCAAAGGTATTTATTTATTTTTGCCTTTTGTTGTAGAGTGAGAGGCGAGAGCATAAGAAACATCCTTAGGAATTCCTGTGCCCACAGTGCCCGCTGGAGCAGGCACCTGTGAAAGGAGGCTCTGGGCAGCAGTGTGAGCAGAGGATGGAACACACCCAGTAGTATTGGACACCTGCAGGGTCTTAGTGAGGACACTACTCAGCAAATGTACAGCAGCAGAGCAAAAGGAAGGGCTGGAGAGCTATGGCATGGCTTAGCAGTGGAATACTTGACTGACATACACCTAAGGTCCTCGGGTCCATCCTAACCCTGTTGTATGTGCATGTATTCATGTGTGTGCATGTGCCTATGTTTGAGGGGCCAGGTGTCAGTTTCAGGTGTCTTCCTCAGTCACACTCCATTTTATTCATTCCCATTGGCCTGGAGCTCACCAAGTGAGCCAACAAGCTCCAGGGCTGGGGCACCGACAGATGCCACATTCATGGCTCTTATGTGCACAGTGTGGATCTAGACTCAGACATTCAATTTTGTGCTGCAAGCACTTTGCTGGCTGAGTCATTTCCCCAGATCTCTAGATTCTTGTTGTTGTTGTTTTGATTTTTTGAGACAGGGTCTCTCTGTGTAGCTTTGAAGCCTGTCCTGGAACTAGGTCTTGTAGACCAGACTGGTCTCTCACTCACAGAGATCAGCCTGCCTCTGCCTCTAAAGTGCCGGGATTAAAGATGTGCATCACCACCCGCTTTAATCTCTAGATTTTTTTAATGCCTGAGCTGAGCCTGGCAAGAGTCTGACTGAATTCCAGAAAGACATTATTCAGGTTTGCTTTTTCTATTTTATTCTGCTTGTCTGGAAGAAGCCCAATGTACAGTAGGTGCACTATAAAATGTACAAAGGACTCTTGTAACAGGCTTTCTTTTGGGCCACCAACCAGCTCCCAAATCATGGCATGGAAACTTGTTATTAGTTATGAATGTTTGGCCTTATCTTAGCTCTTGTTTTAATCTGTTTCTGTTTATCTACATTTTGCCCCAGGTCTTTCATTCTGTGTATCTTACTTTCCTATTTCCTCCTTGTCTGGCTGCTTGGTGGCTGCTTGGCTTCTGGCCCCAGGCATCTCCCTCTCTTTCTCCCTTGTTCTCTCTTCTCTCTCTTTCCTTGAGCCTAGAATTCTCTTCCTAATTTTTCTTTCCGCCCACCAGCCCCACTTAACCCTCTACTGCCTAGCTACTGGCCTTTCAATTATGGTTTTTATTAGACCAGTCAGGTGCCTTAGGCAGGCATGGTGAAACAGCAACACATCTTTACATAATTAAACAAATGCAGCATAAACAAATGTGACACATCCTTACATAGTTAAAATAATAATATTCCACAACAGACTCTTGAATGTATAGGCTCTGGAGTTGGACCAGATCTCGTTCTGGTTACTTGGCCACAGCTTTCTTGCCTGGAAAATGGCATCATATGTCAGGTGTGACAGTCTCCCTGTCATCCCCAAATTGAGGAAACCGAAGGAGGAAGAGTTACCAGTTCAAGGCCGGCCTGGGTATACAGCCAGACCGTGTCTAAGGAAATGAGGATTGACATCACAGATGATTAGCCTCCAAGTCTCCTCATAGCACACCAGGTCTAGTAATACACAGGTGTAACTGGCTGTGTTCACTGAACATAGGCTTAGAGTGGGGCTAGGTCTGAGAGGCCAGCCATGATCAGCTTCTGTGTAAGTGAGCACCCTGCCTTCCAGCCAGGCCTGGTGGCACAGGAATGCAGTCTCAGTTGGGAGGCTATGGCAAAGGAATGAAGAGTTAAGTCCAGCCTGGACCGCAGGGGAGTGCAAGGTCAGCCCAGACAACTTCACAAGACCCTATCTCAAAAATTTAAAACTGAGTTAGAGATGTAGTTCTGTGGTAGGCCACTTGCCTACCTAGTCTGTAAGAGGCCCTGTATTCGACCTCCAGCACTGGGCCGGGGGTATATCTATTCTGTATGATGTGCTGGGTTCGTTTTCCAGTACTGGCCAAGAGGACTTTTTTATATCCACACACACACACACACACACACACACACACACACACACACACGTAATACTAGGTGTGGTGGGATATGTCTGTAATCATAGCTACTCTGTAAGGGTGAGGCAGGAAGATCTCTCCGTAAAGGAAAGAGAGAAAATAATCATAAGTAGTTTTAGGCTGCCAAGGACAAGTAAAGGACATCCCTTTACCCTGAGTGACAGGAGAGCATGCCAGTACCTAAGGGACCAAAAGGCCTCCTTTGCCTGTGGCCCCAAGACATATTCTGCAGGTGTCTAGGGCAGCTTGTGTACTCTAGGGTTTCATTGTCTATGCCTGATGAAGGTATGTTCTAGAAGCTTGGTTTTGTTTTTTGAAACAGGGTCTCATGTAATCCAGGCTGGTCTCAAACTCTTAATCCTACCTTAGCCTCACAAGTGCTAGAACTAAAGGCATGCACCACCACACCTGGCTTCTGTGTGTTCTTAGTCATCACTTTCGATACTGAACACCAGTGCTGTCTTGTACATCCCTCTAGTAAAACAGGAAGAAGGAGAAGGACAAGCTCTGCGCCCATGTAGCTCAGTCACGGGGGACAGGAGATGGATGTCCCCAGAGGCTAGCAGAAGCACTGTCAACTGTCATGTGAAAAGGAAAGCCATGGGCAAGAAGGGGAGGCTCCCAGGGACCTCAGACATGGTTCCACCATTTGAACTGAGACCTGCCACACTTCTCCCAGGGCAGAGAGGGTCTGGTCCCAGCTGTCCCATGTGGTTTGGAGCCATGCTGCTTCAAGATTAGTCCCAGGAGCTAGAGGATGCTCTGCTCTTCCAGAGGACCAGCCCACATGGGACTTTCAGCTGTCTGTAAATCCAGTCCCAGAGGATCTGATGCCTTCTTTGGCCCTTGCAGATTCCACACATGGACATGGAACACAGATATACTGGCACACATATACATAAAATAAAAATTTAAAAATAATACAAGCAAAAGATTCTATCTCTGTCATGGCCAAATTATAGATTAAAGCTGAGGTGATGGCACACCTGTGAGGTGGAACACTTGTAATCCCAGCACTAAAAAGGCAGACAATGTTCCCTGGGCCAGCCTAGCCTACTTGATGAGTTCCAGGTCCTATTGAGATTCCCTGTCTCAAACAATAAGCTTAGTGACTCCTGGGAAATTACTCCATATGATCACCCCTAGCCTTCACACACATGCACAACAGGTACACTTGCACGTGGACACACAAAGCCCTTGAATCAGCTTCCAAGATGCAGACCACCCACCATTTCTGCATTTTGTAAGCTAGGGCAGCAGGATGGAGAGTTCTTGGCCAGCCTGGGCTAGAGGTAAGATCCTGCCTCACCAGAAAAAACAAAGAATCTAATTGTTCGGCCAACATGAGGGAAGGGGTGCTGGGTACTGAATGGGACTTGCTCTCATCTCCCTATTACCAGGTTAGCACCAGAACTGGCCTTCCTGCCCACAGCACGGACTCACTCACCTATAGTCTAGCTGTGGCCCTCCTGTGCTAAGCTGACAGCCATGCTATTCCTGACCCATATCCCTGCCCCTCACTTCCCTCTCCAAACCAGGGGGTGACCTCCCTCTCTCAAAGCCTCCTAAGAACCCACGGCTGAAAGACCCCCATGGAAGCCCCGAGAGCTCTGTGCTGATGCAGTCACAGCACTCCAGAGAGTCAGAAGACAGCTCTGAATCTGCTGCCTCTGTAGAACCAGGTGGGGAGGAACCACAACCTGCAGCTTCCAGGTAGGTGGCTCAGAACTTTCCAGCAGGCATCTGCTTCAGTCATTCACAACAAGCCCACGGGCCCAGGTCTTGCTTCTCGTAGTTCTATTCACCTAGGAGAATGGTCACAGTTAACACCGATGCAATCTCAATCTCAGCCACACTACAGGTTGAAGCTGGGAAGACAGCTCAGGTGGGAAGGCACTTTTTTCGAAAACACAAAGACTAAGTTCCATCTCCAGAATCCATGTAAAAGCATGGTGGGGCACTCCTGTAATCCCAGTGCTGGGGAAGTAGGGCAGATGGATCCCTGGGACTCACTATCCAGCCACTGTAGCCTAATTGGTGAGTTAAGGCCAGTGAGCAACTCTGTCTCAAAGTGCCCTGAGGATGACACCTGAGGTTGTCTTCTGGGTGCATGCATGTGCATGTACACACATATATAAGAAAAACAGGCCAGTCACAGAGAGACAGTGCCTTTAATCCCAGCACATGGGAATCAGAGGCAGGTAGATTTAATCCTCTGCTCACTTCTAGGCCAGTAGGGATGCACTGCTGTGAGACCTCCCAGTCTACAAAAACTGGAGATGGGGATGGAGAATTGACCCATTTTTGAGCTATTTTTTAAAATATTCATTAAGAAATAGCACCTATGGGGTTGGAGAAATGGCTCAGTGGTTAAGAGCACTGGCTACTTTTCCAGAGGTCTTGAGTTAAATTCTCAGCAACCACATGGTGGCTCACAACCATCTATAGTAGAATCTGATGCCCTCTTCTGTCATAACATTGTACATCAGATAGAGCATTTATATACATAAAATCTCTCTTTTAAAAAAAAATAGCACATTTACAGAGAAAAGAAAACCAATATAAAAGAAACAGAATGTAGAGAAAAATCTTGCTGGTGTTCCAGAAGCCACACAAATGACCTCAGTGTAAAACTTGTAATTTACTCTGCAATGCTGGGATGGAATCCAGCCCTCAGCAAGTCAGCATTCTACTGAGCAAACCCTGCACCAAAATATCTTTGAAAAGATATTTTCAAAAATGTCTGAGACACAGTCTTACTGGGCAGCCCTGGCTGGCCTGGAACTTGCCCTGTAGACTAGACTGGCTTTGAACTCACAGAGATATGCCTGCCTGTGCCTTCTGAGTTCTGGGATTATAGGTGTGCACCACCATGCCTGGTTAGGATTTTCTTTTTCCTCCTCCCTCTTTCCCTTATTTCTTTTTTGGTGTGTGTGAATGGGGGCTGGATGTCAAAGAAGGTTGGGGACTACCTGGAATGTCAGTCCTGACTTTCTATGTGTTTGAGACACAGTGTCTGTTTTGTTATGGACTGGCCAGCTGCTCACAAGCTTTCAGGCTTCTTTCTCCTGCCTCCTGGCGTGCTGGGATTACAGCTCTTCTACCTTCTTTATATAGGCCTACTTGTATGGCAAGGGCTTCTGCCCATGGAGCTATCTTCCCAGATTCTTATTTTATTGTACTACTGCACTTTGTATATGCACCATGCTTCTTTGTAAATCTCACACTTTCAAAGCAGATAATCTGTGCCTGGAGCCTAGTGGTGAAGCAATTGCCTAGCAGGTACCAGGGCTTGGGTTCCATCCTCAGCCCTGTGAGGGGGAAATGGAATTGATACATTTTTTAAACCCTAGAAAGGAATTTCCAGGTTCTCCCTGGAAGATTCAGAATTACTTTTCATTTAGGTTCTCATCTCCCTTTGTCCTTGAGGAAGAAAGTGTGTGCATGTGACTGTGCATGCGTGTGGGTGGGTGTTATGGGTGCATGAGCATGTGTTGGGGATAGGACACATAGCCTCACATACTAGGCTCCAGCTGCACCTCTGATCTCCCTTAGTCTTGGTTTTTAAGTGATATCTGAAAGGACTTCAAGTCCTTCTCTGTTTTGCTTCTCCCGACTCAGCTGCCCTGTGGAGGACACAAGAGCTGTCTCTGACCTCCCAGGGTCACCAGAAGAGCTAGTCTCCCTGCCTCCTTCCCAGGTGAGCCTCCTGTTATAGTAAGGTCTTTATCCTGTTCATGGCCAGCAGCTCTTCACGGCCCCAGGGATTCAGGGACGTGCAGACAACTGTTATGTGTGAGACTACGAGAAAGGAAATCAAAGCAAGGCATGGTAGTGCACACCTTTAATTACAGAATTTGGGAACAGAGGCAGGTGAATCTCTGAGTCCAAGGCTAGCTTGGACCACACAGAAGTTCTAGACTAGCCTGGGCTACAAGAGTAAAGCCTTGTCTCAAGAAACATGGGGGGGAGGGTTTGGGGATGTAGGGTATGAGGAGAAAGAGTTGGGGATGTTAGCTTAGTTGGTAGAATACTTGCCCTGGCATGCATGAAAACTTGGGTTTTATCCCCAAGGCTACATAAACCAGGCACATGCCTGTGATTATAGCACACCAGAGGAGAGGACAGGAGTACCAGGAATTCAGGGTCAACCTCAGCTATATGTATCAAAATCAAGGCTGGCCTAAGTTATATGAAATCTCATCTCAAAAGCCAAAATTCCAGGGGGAGGGACTTAAAATAAGGGTTCTGGGCATGGTGACACACAGCTTTAGTCCTAGCTCTCAGGAAGCAGAGACAGGCCTGATCTGCATAGTAAGTTCCAGGATAGCCAGGGCTACATAGAGAGAACTTGTTTCAAAAAAAAAAAAAAAATAGTAAGAGCTGGTCTGTAACTGTGAGGTTGAGTGCTTCCTAGTGTGCAGGGAAGTTCAATCTTGAGTACTGAAAAAGAACAAAAAGAAGGGATGTGTTGGGGATGCTTTTCCTAGACCCTGTTCTTCCATGCTGCTTTGTTCTTGTGTCCCTTTTACAGAACTCAGTCAGGAGGTTTGTCCCCCAGTTTGCCAAATCAAAAAAGACAATAACAAGAAAAGCCAAGGCATGGAAAGAGGTTCCAGAGAGCTGTCCCGGAAGCCAGGTAAGAGTCTCCCTTCCCTTAGTTGGATGCTCCTGCTGTTAACCTTGGTCTTCCTTGACTCTGTACTGGCTGGTGCTCTGCCTCTGCCCCCCACTGCCAGTGCAGCACATTCTAGGTTCCTGGTATGCACTGCATGCTGAGCAGCCCAACTGAGACCACTGTGTGGACCATGACTTGCAGCTTGCATAGAAATAGTCAAATTCAGAAAGGTAGTATATTTTTCCTGAGAGCTTCCTCTGCTTCTTGAGAGTTTCTGCACAAATCAGGAGCATTTTTAAAATGGGTGGAGAGATGGCTCAGCAGTTATTAGTACTAGGTGTTTTTCCATAGGACCCAGAGCTGGAGTTGCAGGCAGTTCTGAGCCCCCTGAACTAGGTGATGGAACTCAAACTCAGGTCCTCTGCAAGAATACAATACTTTTTTTGTTTGTTTGTTTGTTTTTGTTTTTTGATACAGGGTTTCTCTGTATTGTTTTGGAGGCTGTCCTGGAACTCGCTCTGTAGACCAGACTGGCCTCGAACTCACAGAGATCCACCTGCCTCTGCCTCCCGAGTGCTGGGATTAAAGGCGTGCGCCACCAATGCCTGGCTACAATACACTCTTAAATGCTTGGCCATCTCCCTAGCACTCAAAGAGGCTTAGGATTGCCCTTGCCATCATAAATCCTAGGGTTGACAATGTTGTTGTTGACACTTGCCTCTGGAGGAGAGTACATAGTGGCCTTGCAGCAGCAGTATTTGTAGTGCTAACTGGGAATACTCCAAGTAACCTTGGGTGGATCAATGTTAAGGTTGGGGCATGGCTCAGTGATAGTGTACTGTAGGCAGTACAGGACCCTGGTATCTGTCTCAAATGTGTATAGATTAATGGGGCTGGGGATGTTTGGTACAGCACTTGCTCAGCATGCACAAAGCCCTGGGTCATCTATCCCCAACACTGCACAGACCGTATGATGGTGCTTGCCTGAAGTCCCAGCTCTTGGGAGGTAGGTGGAAATGGGAGGACCAGAAGTTCAAGGCTATCCTGAGCTACGTACCAGCTTTTGCGATCAGGTTGGGCTAGTCTTGTGGGAGTGGGAAACTGGAGAGTTGGGATTGTAGAGTTAAGGCAGACAATTGGTTGACAGGTGTTAAAGACAGAGTGGATAAAGTGTAGGAGAGATGGAATGCAACTGTTTATTATTATTTTATTATTTATTTATTTTTATTTTTCTAGACATGGTTTCTCTATGTAGCCCTGGCTGTCCTGGAATTTGCTCTGTAGACCACTTTGGCCACAAACTCATAGATCCACCTGCCTCTGCCACCTGAGGACTGGGATTAAAGACATGCACCACCCCCAACCTGTGAGAGAGACCACTTATATACTAGAAGTATATTGACTGTGATTGGTTAGCATGTTACCACTGATTGGACAGTGAACACTCACACCACCAGGGTCTCCGTGGAAGAAGCACATTAAAGGAGACATGGAGAGTACAGACTACTCACGCTACTTCAGAATTCAGTGTTCTGACTTTAGGAGTATGTTGAGCCATACTATTTAAAAGCGCAGTGTGCCAAGTAGACTGGCTGCCAGGTCATGCCTGCACTTTCTCCTATACACACCCCTCATATCAAATACATACACTGTATACAAACACACACACATATAATATCACACACAGCATACAACATACACACATCATTACAGCATACATCATATGTATACATCCCATACACACATAAATGAATCACACATTCGATACATCATTCACATATATATATATATATATATCAATCACATGCACAGCAGTAATAATAATAAAATTTTTGCTGAGTGATGGTGGTGCACACCTTTAATCCCAACACTCGGGAGGCAGACAGGAGGATCCCTGTGAGTTCAAAGCCAGCCTGGTCTACAGAGAGTTCCAGGACAGCCAAAGATACATAGAGAAACCCTATCTCAAAAAACAAAACAAAATTTTAGCTAGGCATAGTAGTGCACACCTTTAATCCCAGCACTTGGGAGGCAGAGGCAGGCAGAACTCTGTGAGTTCAAGGTCAGCCTGATCTACAGAGGGAGTTCCAAGACAGCCAGGGCTACACAGAGAAACCCTGTCTGGAAGCAAAAAAGATACTCTCCCTTGGGTGGCAGAGGCATGTGTTTTGAGTTTGTACCAGCTTGGTTTGTGAGCGCTGAGCTAGTCAGGCTGCACAGGGAGACCCAGTTTCAAAAACCAGTGTACATGAAACAAGAGCAGCTTTAGTAGGAGGTCACTGTTGCCATGGCTGCTTACCTTCCTCATCATGGTGGCTCTTTCTGATTCTCCCATCTCTACCCCCCCCCCAAGTGCTAGATTACAGGCATGCCACCACTGCTGCAAAGTAGGTCTTCCCCAAAGTCACATCTAGGTCACGACGTTATACCTGAGCAACACAGGGCGTCAACTTTGGAAGATGTGAGAAAAAGGAACAGGGAACTTTCTGTGGCAATTGTCACAGCACGGTAGAAAGGCCTCTAGTTTATCATCGTCATCATCATTGGGCATTTGAGACAGAATCTCACTATGTGGACCACAACAGCCTCAATCTCTGAACCCTTCCTCAACCTCTGAATGTGATAATATATGTGTGCCACCAAGTCCAGCCCAACCCCAGCTGGTTTTGTAATGGTATTTTTATTACCTATATGCAAGTGTCTAAGTATAGGTGTCCATGTGCCACAGTGTGCGTGAGAAGTAATAAGGCAACTTGTGGAGTCTGTTTTCTACATCATGCCTTGACAGAAAGTGCTACTCTACCCACTGAGCCTTCACTGGCTCTGGTTCATCTTATTTAAGGTGATAAGGAGCTGGTGAGATGGATGGTCAGGTCAAGACACTTGTCACCATATATGATAACTGAGAACCCTTAGTGGAAGGAGAGTGAACCAACTTCCACAACTTGTCCTCTGGCCTCCATGTGTACATTGTGGCAAGGCAACAACAGTACAAATCACACACACACACACACACACACACACACACACACACACACACACACACAAAATATCTAATAAGCTGATGAATTTGAAGTACCACTGGATCAATTGGAAGCAGAACCTTTAAACCTTTCATTGACTCTCTGGGGGTGAGGATAGAACTCAAAGCCTTGTGCAACTAGGCAAGTGCTCTATTATCAAGCCACTCCACAGTCTTCTGCCTGGAATTTATTTATTATGTTGGGCTTTTTTGAGGCAGGGTTTTCTGTGTCACATGGATTTTTATTCTATAAGCTCCTGAATGCTTCAGGGAAGGACCCATGAAAGGAGGGGTGTGTGCTTCCTGTCCTCATGCCTCAGCACAAACCTCTGCCTAGAGCAGCTGCTGGAACCCATTGTGGTACCTAGTGGTGCGTGAAACCATCTGATCCAGAGCACAGGGCTTGTAGCAACTAGAGAATCATTCAGAATGCTTAGCTATCTAAGGCCCGGACTGACTCTTCCTATTTCCACAGGAAACATGGCCAGAGCTGGGTGCCCTCCAGGCAGGCAGCCAGCCACAGAAGGAGTCCCTGAAGTTCCCTTTCCATGATGCCAGGAGACCAGAAGACCAGGCATGGGCAGATGGTACCTGCTCAAAGGAGAGGACTATCTCCCCAGATACTGGAAGCCCAGGGAACAGTGATTTTGAGATGCAGAGGACCACGGTTCAAGACAGTGATAGCCAAGGAAGGCACCTGTCAGATGGTGATGCTGAAGGGAGGCAGGCAGATAGTAGAGCCCCACAGGAAGGAGATGCCCAAGAAGGGGGAACAGGGGCCCAGCAGTCTGGGGAACCCCAGGAAGGAGAAGACACCCTCTACATTTCAGCATCAGCTCCTGCCTCAGACCCCACTGTGCCTGTCCCCACACACAAACTCAGCAGCACAGGTGCAGCACCAAGCTGCAGCAGTCCAGCACATGCCTCTCTTACAGACAGTGTCCTCACAGATGTGAGCTTAGATCCCTCTCTGCTGCAACAGAGGGCTCCAGAGGTGGCTGCGCTGCCAGGCTCTCTCAATGGGCAGACCCCTGGTGGAGGCTGCAGTGGGACTCTGCTGGGCTACACACCTCTTACTGAGGAGACTACAGCAGGCAGAGAGGAGGCCAGGCTGGAAGAGGGGTCCCCTAGTGACACCCTGACAAGCCTTATTGAGGCTGCAGTTCCTGGAAAAGAAGAGCCCATGGTGGGTGCTGGAGATCCAGGTCATATAGAACAGGAAATGAGTCCAGCTGTCAAAACCAAGGACTCTGGCTCTGATGGACAGTTGCCAGAAGAGATAGGAACACTGCCTTTAGAGGCACAGCCCATGAGCCAAAAGGTAGTGGAGTTAAGCAGCCTGAACTGCCATCAAGACGTTGAGAGCCTCAGTTTGTCCCCTGATACCTCCTCTCAGCTAGAGCATAGCCATGCAGCTAGTGACCTTCCCCAGAGGACCAAGGCCTCTCATAGCAGCCCAGGGATTCCCATAGACCTGACAGAGCAACAGCAGTCAGCTCCCAGTACTAGAGATGAGGCTGCATGGCAGGAGTCCTCAACAATGGAACTAGACTTCCTGCCTGACAGCCAGCTACAAGATGTTCTGGATGCCCCCAACCTGAAGGCCCTGTCCGAGCAGGTAAGAGCCTTCCTGTGTTCAATGCATGCTTGTGCAGGCGTGCGTGCACGTGCACACACACACACACACACCCTTGTTGGTGAAATTCCAAGGCAAGATGGGGCTTGGGTGTTTAACACAACATTTATGTAGCACGGGCATCTGGGGTTGGAAGACTCAAAGCAGCTTTGGGCATGGTGGAGCCTGGTTTTCCTGAATGGTAGACCTGCTGGCTATCCATGTGGGCCTGGCTTGCGTGACTGCTAAGAAGGTGCCCTAGGATAGGGAGAGACAGGGACTTTGTCTGTCTGGGGCCTCCCTGCTATAACTAGAGCCCTCAACTGTGCCACCCTTGCCCAGCATCTGCCCCTGGCTGGCAAGGGGATGTGGAAGACCTCTACTAGTCACACACCTGAAGAACCCAATGCTCTTACAGCAGATGGAGGAAGGGGACTCACTCCTGAACTGCAAAGAGCCCTTGCTGGGCTGGAAAGATGGCTCAGAGGTTAAGAACACTGACTGCTCTTCCAGAAGTCCTGAGTTCAATTCCCAGCAACCACATGGTGGCTCACAACCATCTATAATGAGATCTGGTGCCCTCTTCTGGCCTGTAGGCATACATGCAGGCTGAACATTATATACATAATAATTTTTTTAAAAAATCTTAAAAAAAAAAAAAAAAAAGAGCCCTTGCTCCCTTGAGACTTGCTGGGAATGTTGGCATGATTTTCCGGCAGACACATGGTAATTGTGCTTTGTATTATAGTTCCTAAGGGTCTTGTCCACCCATAGCTGCCCAGATGTAGCCTTCCATACCTCTGAGCCAAGGCCAGACATTCAAGGTCGCCTGTCAGCCCCAGCTCCTGGCAGAGAGCATCCCTGCTATCTGTTGCTGCACTTAATCTAACAAAGTGCTGTACTGCCACACTCTGAGACTGGGCAGCTCTCTCCTACACAGGGTGTGTTACAGAGGCCAGTCACCTGCTGGAGTCTAAAGCTGCTCTGCCTTGGAATGGAGCTTGGTGATTTCTTTCCAGCAGGCTATGCAAGTGCCCTCCCATGGAGCCAGGATTTCACACTGAGCCACAACCTCCTGATGAGATACTTAGTTCATTTTTGCCACTTTGAGAAAGCCTTTTTTTTTTCTTTTTTTGGTTTTTTTCGAGACAGGATTTCTCTGTGTAGCTTTAGAGCCTATCCTGGCTCTGGAGAGTAGACTGGCCTCTGAACTCACAGAGATCCGCCTGCCTCTGCCTCCCGAGTGCTGGGATTAAAGGCGTGCACCACCAATGCCTGGCCGAGAGAGCCTTTTTGTAAGACACAACCCCTCAATACAAGCAAAGAATTTTACCTAGTTCTGAATCCAAGAAACAGGCAGCCATGCTTCAGGGCCATGGGTTCCATCCTATCACCAAAGGACTAGAGAGCAAGCCTGCCCTTCCATCCTTGTTGGGGCACTTGCTGAGCTGCTGTACTTCTGTGGTGTAGGCCAACATGGCTTGTCTTAGCACTATGAGAATCTGAGGTTCCATCACCTCTGTAAAGAAAATCAGGACCAAAGGAACCTAGCATTCAGCTTGTGTCAGACAATAGGCAGCACCAGCTTGAGAGTGATTATCTTTGACACTAGGCATTCCTGAACAAGTCAGGGTGACCCAGACACTGAGCATATTCCCATTAGAAGGCCATCAGCAGCCCAGCCCAGCTGGAGAGAAAAGGTGGTCTCCCAACATAGGAACACCTAGGATTAGAAATGGGTCTCCTGTTGACCTCACAGCCATCTCAGCAGAGGGCATGCCTGTAGGTCACCCTGCAGTGACAGTCTCAGCCTTGCATAGTGCTCTTCTACCAGGAATTTGGTGTTTTTTCCCTCACAGCTCCAGTGTTGGTCTCAAGCTGGCACAGCTGTATGGCATATGTGGACCCTGGGCTCCATCCCTAATACTTGGAGAAAACAGATCCTTTTATCCTTCCTAGGGTTTGAGCATCAGCATTTGGCTGAGGCTTGCAGGGCTTAAATTGCCATAGCCCCTTTTATCAAGGCAACAAATACTCCATAGGCATTCTGGGAGTGTGGCCCCTTTTAGGGGGAAGATTCTCTTTCCCACAACTGAGCAGTGTAGTATGATGGGTAAATGAAAACACCAGATTTCATTTTAGATGAGTCTTGCAAAGTTGTCCTGGCTGGGTTCAAATGACCCTCCTAGGTCTGTGCCACCAGCCCAGCACGGTCCTGTCATGAATTTCCATGCCAGCCTATCTGCAGAGTCTTTCCCGTATTAGATGCTCACGTCTGAGGCAGGGCAGGTACCACCACCTCCTTTCTGCTGCTGACACTTGGATCCTGAAACAGTCTCTGCAGGCCAGAGTTACAGGGTCTTTTTTCCTTTTTGAAAGGGGGTGGGGTCTCAATCTCACATGACTACATTCAGAGTAGCCTGAAACCCAGGAGCCTGGCCCCAAACTCACAAGCACCAATCCTGCCCCAGCCCCCGTATTTCTAGGATTACAACTGTGTACCACCATGCCTGGCCATGGTTTTGTTTTTTCAAAACAGTCTTACTATATATCCTAGCTGTCCTGGAACTCTGTGTAAAACCAGGCTGGCCTCAAATTCATGAAGATCCACTGCCTCTGTCTCCCAAATGCAGGGATTAAAGATGTGCACCATTACACCCAGCTTTGCTCCAGGATCTTTTAAGATACTTTGGGACACTTCTACAGTGATTGGGGTAAAACTCGTCAGTGTATCATGATACATAGCAGCCTGTTGCAAGGACGATGACGAGGAGGGTACAGCAGTTGTCTAGAGCCCCTTATTGGCATCGTGCCTCCTCTGTAAGAGCTCAGCTAAAGTGAAGCCTTAGACACTGTGCTGCTTCCCTGTGCCAGGCTGGGTCATTCACACACTGTCCCTACTCCTTCCAGGGTTTTCCTGCAGGGAACGAGCCAGGCCATGGTGGACCTGTCCCTAACCCAGATGTCATTGGAGGATCCCCAAAGGCCGTGGCCAAATCTCAGCCCAGGTAGGCTTTCCAGTCCTCAATCCAGAATGGGAAGTGGGCCTGTGTTTCAAACTGCCATGTACCATATGTCCTGAGAACTCAGGTGGCCCATGTTCCACACCCAAAGAAGTACCTGTCCTTGGAGATGAGTCCCCTGGGGCAGTCTCTCCAGTACCTAAGACTATCCCAGCCTCTTTGTGCATGGGTGTCTTAAGAGGAGGAGCCTGAGGTCCATGACTGGTGTCTAATCAGAGCTAATAACTGTGCAGACAGAGTCCAAGGCTGCCCCCAGCTCTGGCTCTGGGCAGGTATCCCAGGCACTGCCCCACCCTTTCTCCTCACTGCCCCGTCTGGCCCTTTCAGGCCTTCCCTCCTGTTACCTTGCACTTGAACCTGACCGTGCCTCTGCAGACTTATGAATGATTTACTGCCAAGCTTCTGTTTCCATCAGGCACTCATGAAGGAGGGCTAGGATGCCACCTGACCTCCTTTGTCCTCTTTCCCTCCTCATCTCCTGACCACTGTAACATGTACCCCATCTGCCACTTGTCAACACAGTCCCTCCCCATGTATCTCTCTCTCCCTTCAGTGTACCAGCAGCAGTTAGCCATGTTACCCACTGTTATTGGGGAAGACCCCACAGTCGGTGCTGCCCCAGGGTGGCCTATGGTTGAATGAAACTCTAGGAAAGCTAAGGGCCTGACAGACAGCCACCCATAAGTTGTCTGAAGCCTGTGTGGCAGAACTGGGGCTCCTGAGTACAGTAAGTTCAGAGAGACAGCCTGAACTGACAGGGCTCTTATTCTGCCCATACATACAGGCTGCACATCCCTGTGGGAAAAGTTGTGGCATGTCCCCTTCTAGGTTATCTTGAATGCCAGAGACCACGGGGAGCTAATTAGAGGCAAATCAAATGTTGAGAATGGGGTCATTCAAGGAGTTAAAATCTAACCATCAAGACAAACTGAGTAAGAATATTCCAGAGTCCTCAGAGGCACTGGAAGAATGGCCAGGGTCCAGGTGAGGACAGGTGGTACCTATTAGTGGAGAAGGTCAAGCAGGCCAGGGCAACAACCCACTCGTGGCAGTGTGTGGTGGCAGGGGCTGGAAGTGGGGTGTTCTAGGTGTGGGGGAGGGGTGGGTAGAAAGCCCCTTAGACCCAATGAAGGTCACTCCTCCCCCACCCTCCACAGACCCCCTATGGGGACCTGGGCCCAGGAGGCCTTCAGGATGCAAGATGCCACAGACACAGTGCGCGGCCTCGTGGTGGAACTCTCCAGTCTCAAGTAAGGGCAGCTCAAGTCACCAGAGAGGACAGGGAACAGTAGAAACTGAAGCCTGACTGCAAGTGTTGGGGGGGCGGGGGTGGGTATCTGGTGGCCCCACCCTGGCTGCCTCTGCCTTTACATTTGTGCCTGTACCTGCTATGTGTGAGCCTGTGAGGAGCCACTGGCAGGTGTGATGGAGACAAGACCGTGTGCAGTGGGAGCCCCAGCTAGTACTCCTTATTTCCGTTTCTTCTACAGCCGGTTGATTATGAGCACCCACCGGGACCTGGAGGCCTTCAAACGCAGGAAGGCCAAGCCTCTGCCTTACCTGACAAAGGGGTTGGGGAGCCTTGCTAGAGGGGATCAGGGCTGGAGGGAACTGTAGGCTGCTCCAGCCTGCAACCCCATGTGCCCTGCAGCTCTCCTGGGGCTCCATATACCCGAGGCTGAGGAGAATCTGAGAGCACAGCCTGCCCCAGATGTCCTCCAGCCTTCAGAGTCCAAGCTCCTGAGCTGAGCTGCAGTTGTCTTTCTTTTTTTTTTCCGGAAAGAGAAGAGGTGCTCTTTGTTCTTGTGCCTGTCCTCCTCCCCACCCCCACAACGCTGTCCACGTTACTTTTGGGAAGGCAGGGAATAAATGATGCAATCAAGAGCCTGTGATTTGCTGCTGTGGTGGTGATGTTCCCAGTCCCTATTTTCTGCCCTCAGACCGCTCTACCCTCAACTATTCCCAGCTGCCTTCTCTTTTTCCAGTTACTTTTCTCTCCACCTGCAGGAGGCTAGATGGGCTATCTAGAACCACTCTTGCCAGAGCAGGACTGCCGGAACACAGGTCAGGGGCTCCCCACAGCTCAGTGTCCCAAGTCTTTAGGAGGGTGGCCACGTGTACATGGGAAAGGTCCATACACACGACTGGAGGGCACAAAGCTTCCCTGAAGCTGTCACAGCCAAGTTCCCGGCAGGCTGAGATTCCTGCCTTACTGCCTAGGAATGAACACTGATCACCCACCCCACCCCACCCTTGCCTCTGGACATGACAGGGTTCAACTGTGCCACAGGCAGTAACCTGTTTGCAGAAATACATGCCTAGGTTGGCTCAGGCCTCAACTCTCACAGCAGAGGCAGGGCCTACCCACTCAGCCTCCCATAGGGGAACCCACTGTATGAGCTGAGACAGGCAGGGTTATGACTGAGGGGACAGCTGTCCCTAACTCTGCCTAGCCCCACCCATCTCTGGGCTCAGACTGTGGTTGGTGCTTTGAGTTATACCAGGACTTGCTGCCGCCCCAGTACCACTCACAGGCCCCAGGCAACTAAGGAGCCCTCCTTCAGTCACTTCCTTCCCTCCTCCCTGGCCTTAGCCCCAGAAGAATATGGGCTGAGGGTGAAGCCTCAGGCCAGTTAGATGAATCCAGGCACTGCTGTCCGCAGCACACCCACACCACTTGTGGGGCTGAAGGAGACAAAGGTGTGATGATCCAGAGCTTAGCCCCCAACCCAACCAAGCCTGTCACCGTATTTGTGCCAGTCTGCCCCCCAAGTCCTGTGCACCTTCAGTGCAACAGGAGGCCCTGGATATGCACTGGGTGCTGCAAGTTTAAAAACCTCACAGCTGCCCTCATGCTCCTGAGTCCACTCCCCAAGGTGGTCCCAAGATTCAAAGAGCAGTTTGTCAGGTGGGAGGTGACAGAGAATGAGGATGTGGTGTGTAGAGTAAGGTGTCCCTGCCAGCCAGATTCAAACCACCTTGTCCCAAGACTAGGCTCCACTCCTCACCATTTATTGGGTGCTGATGCAACAACACAAGCAGGACTAGGGTGGGGGAAGGGCTGGCGATCTCCAACTGTGGCCAGCCTCAGGGTTTTAAGCAAGATCCAGTCTCCAGCATGCCTGTGTCCAGACCCTTGGCAAGGGTACCCCATGGTCCTCCCCACTCCAAGCTCCTAGGCTGTAGTGGAGGGACTGTAGGCCGAGGGTGAAGGTCCAGAGGACTTCCTGCCACTTTTGGAACCTGAAGGTTGAAAGCAAAGGAGAGAAATGCTGAAATGAGTGGCTCAGATGGCCTCCTAGGGCCTCCCGGGTTGCTGCGCCACCTGGTGGTCACACCTGGGATTGTCATCCTGGGTCCCAGAGCAAAAGCACAGAAATGCTACTCAAATGAAGGTGGTGTCCCTGCCAGGCTGCAAGGGAACTTGCATTCCTTACACCCAGAATGCAGTGCTCAGCTTGCTGTGACAGTATGCTGGTGAGCACACCCTCCAATACCAGGGAGGTGTTCCTGTCCCTTTAGAATTCAGAGACTATCATCTCTATAACTCCTCATTGTTAGCTTCTCGGGGCTGAGTCCCTCTAAGACCCCACTGGAAGGGATAGAGCTGTGGTGCAGCATGCAGAAGGTCCTGGGATCCATCTCCACATCAGATCGACAACATAAAACTCTAACAGGCAGGCACGGGGGTTCACACCTGTTTGGGCAATAAGTTGAGGCACATTCTTTCAAGTCTACCCTGAGCTACACAGACAGACAGTCTCAACAACAACTAAAAAAATTCACAGAATGGGATCCTCACCTACAGATAATCGGCCTCTAACCAGAAGTCCACTGCAAAGTTAAGGGAGACACACCCCAGGCCATTGCCACCCCCTAGAAGCTCCCAGACTACCCAGGGAGACAAGCACACAACCAGCAAACAACCCAACCATGGTGAAGCTGACTATCTGAGTCACCTTCAGGGCCTCACCCACAAACTTTCAGTTTCCTCCCTGAGGTCTCACAGAAACTGAGGCCTGCAGAGCTATGAGACATACAAGCACCTGCCATCCTAGCATTTTGCAGGACAGCCTGAACTACAAAATAAAGAACTGTATCAAAAAGAAAAAGGAAACATCTCAAAGCTAAAAACAAACAAACAAAAACAACAACAACAACAAAAACAAGGGGCTGGAGAGATGGCTCAGCGGTTAAGAGCACTGGCTGTTCTTCCAGAGGTCCTGAGTTCAATTCCCAGCAACCACATGGTGGCTCACAACCATCCCTTATGAGATCTGGTGCCCTCTTCTGGTGTGCAGATATACATGGAAGCAGAATGTTGTATACATAATAAATAAAATTTTTAAGAAAAAAGGAAAAACAAAAACAAAACAGGTAAGAGCTTATCAAAATCATCAGCTTTGCAGAGGACCTGTGCTTGGATCTCAGCACCCATATGGCTACTCACAACCAGCTGTGGCCCAAGTTCCAAGGTTTCTCATACCCCCTTCCTGACTGCTCACAGGTGGCACACATCCATACACATGAAATAAATTATCTGCATCTCTTGAGGGCTGGTGAAGTGGCTCAGTGGATAAAAGGGAGCTTGTGGCCCAAGCCTGAGGATCTGAGTTCTGCACCTCAGACCCACATGGTGGGAGAAGAGAACTGATTATTGCAAGTTGTATGTGTGAAAAAGATGTAAGAAATAAACAGCCGGGCATTGTGGCACACATAGGAGTTCAAGGCCAGCCTGGTCTACAGAGCTAGTTCCAGCATAGCCAGGGCTACACAGAAAAAACCTGTCTCAAAAAACCAAAATAAATAAGATGGATGGTAAACAAAGAAAAATAAACAGGAAATACAACGCCACTCTGTACTAGGGTGCCACGGCCCAGCTGTAGGGAAATGCTGGCTTCTGAAATCCTGGCCCTGGGGTCCATTAGCATGGAAACCATTAAAATTTAATAGGGCCAGGATACCTGGCTCCTTAGTTAAGAGCACTGGCTGCTCTTCCAGAGGACTGGGATTCAATTCCTAGCACCCACATGGTGGCTCCTAATCATTTTACCAGTTCCAGGGAGTCCCACACTCTTCTGAAGTGCATAGGTACAGACATAAATGCAAGCAAACCACCCACACACCTAAAAGCTTTAAAAACCATTTAGTTTCAGGTGCTTAGGCCTGGCCCTGGAGGGTGGTGCTCTGCATTTGTGGGGAGATGGGGATGCCCCACACTGTAACATCAAACAAGCAGGTTCCCACCAAGCAAGTTCCTGAGGGGTCCAACTGCAGTCTCTCCTGCCTGTCCCCCTACTCCTGCCTTGCTGCCTCAGAGTGGGCTCCTTAAGATCCATGACAACTATGGGACCCCTTGGTCCTGGTCTGCTGCTCCTGTAGAATTCTGAGAAGTCTCTTTGCCTATGTGTTTGTGGTGTGGAAGTCAGAAGACAATTTGAAAGAAACCAGTTCTCTCCTACCACATGGATCCCAGGGATCAAACTTGGGTCTTCAGTGTTAGATTGGAGCAGTCTTTGCCCATTGAGTCATCGTGTTGACATCACACCCCAAACTTTTTATGGTTCTGACTGGGGAGCAAAATCAGGGACTCCTAAGCACTATGCATGAGCCCTAACTCCAGAATCCCCAAAGTGACACCTCAAAGATCCAGTGATTTCTAGCCCACCGCACAAAGCACACCCACACCCAGCCAGTCACACCGAACATTATGAAAGTTTCCAAGAAGGCCCAGGCCACACTTCCCACCTCCCACAGTGGAAATGAAGGAACTAAGACTCCTATTAGATACCTTCTCTAGGAAGTCCTTCTGGGATCCCCCTCATGTGAGCCAAGTGCTCCCCCATTCAACACTGTCTTAACCGCCACTCTCCTGTCCACCCAGCACCCAGTGCAGAACAAACATGAAAATATTTGGCAAATGATAAATGATTTCAGGGTTCAGAAAGGGTTTCCAAACTTCACAACTCCTGACCCTCAAGTACCAATCAGAGCTCACACTATACCCTAACATCTTTTACTACCCCATGCCTGGGCTGCTCAGAGAGGGAGAGTGACTTGTGAAAGACCACATAGCAATGGAAAAACCACACTCCCGAACCATGCTCTACACAAGGTTTTCAGGATGCTCTTAGCTCTACACAGTGGGTTGCTTAAGTTTCCAAGATACTGGCATCACACACACTTAAACACCCCAAACAGCTAAGAGCCTAGAATGGGTCCCTTTTCCACCCATTCCCTAAACCACCTGCATAGACACCTGCTGCTGTTTCTCCTCCCGAGCGGTGGCCAGCATCCTGTGTCTTTGCCTTGTCAGGCCGGGTCAGCTTTTTGCCTGCAGAGTTCCGGGTAGTGTAGCAGTAGACAGAAGTGTAGCCCTGGCCGGTGAGTGGGCAGAAGCGTCGAGTGTGGGCGTGCTCCTGGGTGGCCCCACACTGGGGACAAACATAATCCCTCAGGATGGGACACAGCACCCGGCCTGCCTCATCCTTCAGAACATGGGACTGATAGATAGCACGGGACTCGCCATTGTGCTTGCAGAATGAGCACAAACGTTCAGGAGCTGTAGAGGGCTCCTTGCTGGCTTGCTGGCTTTCCAGGCTCGGCTTGGGCTCTGGTTTGGGGTTCAGTCTGACATCAGGCACCTCTTCCTCATGCAGAGCCCCAACCAGACTTGCCAGGCCCAGATAGTCTGTCCACAGATTGAAAGTTCCCATGGCTGGGCAGAGCAGACTGAGGGGAAACACTGACTTGCTTCCCGCTTCCCTCAGTCCTGAAGCTCAAGCTTCTCCGGCTGCTTTTCTACCTTGAGGGGGTGTGAGAGGGTGGAGCAGGCAGGCTCTGGGGGGTCCCTTATTGTCACTGGGGGCTCCTTACATACCTGCCCAGGGGGTATATGGTGTTTGTGTGGGCTGGAGGTAGACCAGGAGCCACTGAACCCCCAGGCTTCCCCAGGGTCTCCTCCCCCTCCCTGTGGGAGGTCAACCCTTGCTGGCCAGCTAGGTGAAGAGGCTAAGAACTCTGCCCCGGGGGCCAAACCCTTAAACTGAGGGGTGATTTACTAATTTTTTTCCTCTTCCTTCCCTATGGCTGGGGAAGGGGCCAAGTGGCCTTGAGCCTTTGTTAGGTCGAGTAAAACAGCAATCCCAGTACTTAGGAAGGGGGCCTGAGAATGGTGGTAGGGAGGGGGAGGACCAGGGCCGGGTCCCAAAGCTCTGGCTTTGCTAAGGGATTTTCATGCCCACTCCAGTGGCCGAGAACTTAGTCATGAAGTGTGAATGACAAAAATAAATAAGGACACGGCTGCTCCTAAGGGATTGAGGAGGGTTACTGTGGATGAAAGGGACAATACAGTTAAAGGCAGAGACATCTGGGAGTCTAGAGTGGACATGAGGCAAAACAAACAAACAAAAGCACATAACAAAATATGGCTGGGTTATATGCGAACTGGAAAATCGAGGAAGGGCAAGCCCAACCTTGTTCCTCGGCTAGAGATGTTCAGCATAGGTGACAGGTATGCCAGCCAAGGGGACCTCATAACAGGTAGGGACTGAGGGATGCCAGTGTCAGCTTTGATGCGTTAATAGGCACCTCAATTGTCCTCGTTACAAATTGGAGTTACCAACTCTTCTTCCTTCAGTTAGCTCAGTTAGGAGCCTCAAGGTTGGAGGGGAGTCCTCCTCCAGCGCAGACAGGCAGGCAAGCAGGCTGCATCCCAGCATGTGCCAGCTCTCTGACCCCCAACACAGCCTGCAGTCAGGGGAGGTCGAAGCCTGAAATCCCAGAAGGCACTTGGTCGGGAGGCCCCACTGGCTGGGACAGACTTCACTCCTCCTGTCCACCAGCTAACCCATCTGCCCAGCACAAGCCGGTCCACCAATTCACCTATTCCAGAAACCTCAGGAATGGTTTTAGCCCACTGAGCCCCACATTATGATCCCCCCAACATCTAATCCTCCCAGGTTAATTTCCCAATTTCAATCTGCCCTTTAAGGTCCCAGATCTCCTTAAGGGGAGCAAGTGACAGGCTGAAGAATTTGGGGGGTATCTAAGAGGTCCTGCCCTCCTCATCCCTGAGATTGTTGTATGGCCCAGCCACAGTGACATTCATCCCCCGGTGGGTCTGGCCTCCTCATCACAACCCACCGACAACAATGAATGTTGATTGTGACCTTCGCTGTGGCCAGAGAGAGGGGATGCCAGGTTGCTGGGGGGTGGGGGATCTCCCAGATCTAGAAGGTGGGGATGGAGATGGGGTAGACGGCAGTTCCAGGCCTCGGGGTCCACTCAACGGTCGATGGTTTGTCTGAGCTGCCCAAACTCACCGACAGGTTGAATGTTCCCCCAAACCCTTGGCAAGTTTCTTGGAGAACTGGAGTGGGGAGTAACCCAGAGAGGTAGGGAACGTGTAAGGTGGTGGAGAAGCCAGGGTCCTTTTGACTCATGAAGCCAGCCATCAGTTATGCAGCATCATCTGTCCTTTTGGAGACGCAGGAGAAGCAGCACAAATAAAAATCATAAGGTAAAAATGTGTGGCCCCTGCAACAGAGGTAATGATGTGCCTATCTCATGCACTTTATTCAAGAGATGCACCCAGAGTAGTGTGTGTACTTGACACCTCAACACTCTGAGGCTTAGGACTGTTGCAGCTCCAGACCAGCCCGCACTAATAGTAAGGACCTAGTGAGATCTATATAGTGAGATAAAAATAAAATCTTCCAAAGCAACCCTGAGATGCAGACCCCCCCACACACACACACACAGTAGTTAGGGAGAGTGAGGCCAAAAGACCACAAAGGAGGGAGATTTCTAGCCACTTAGGAAGTCTGGTAGCCTAGGTTATGGTCTGGGAGGGTCACAGAGGCAACCGAGAAGTAAACAAATTCCTTTACACAATGTAGCGGGCTCCTCGAGCAAGCTGGATGGTGAGATAAATAAGGCTTCAATACAATGTAGACCTTTCTGTTTTCCCATGGTCTAAGCTTAAATTTCCTCCTGAGCCCACCTCCGCCCTTCCCAGGGGAGCAAAGCTGAACTGCCCCCTCCCCCAACACCCACTCTGGGTCTAAAGGCTTCTAAATGGTCGGAGAAGAGAACAAGATTCCCTAGGCCTTTTGGTGGAGCATCTGCCCACTTGGGCAAAGGCCCTGGGCTGCACCCTTGGCACTGCCAGCTTTGCTTTACCTAAGCTCCTGACACTTCAGAGAGGGGAGTGTGATTACCCTCAGGGATCTCCTGAGGTCACACAAGACAGATGCGGAGCACCAAGTGTAACCAAGCTTGTGTGAAACCCAGTAACTCCCGCCAGGGGAGGGTGGGAGGGCACCAGCCTATGCAGCCCCAGGCCACAACCCCAGACTCAATTCAGTTCTCTGCCAGGGTCCCAGGGACCTTCCTGCCAGCCGGTCCTGCTAGATCTGCCTCCAAACTGAACTACCTGAGAGCTTAGGTCTCACCCTGCCTAGCACCTCAATGCGCTTCCAGAGCATCCCCAGAAGTCCCCTAGAAGCTAAGCTCCTTCTAAGACCCACCCCAACCCTTAGACCCAAACGGGGCCCCTGAAGCCAGCGAGACTCAGGAAGCGCTCCCACCTGGTTGGACCCTTAGCCTGCTTCCTCAGCCTAGTCCCCAGGACAGCTCACATTGTCACCCGGGCCTGGTCAGCAGCCCCCATTTGAGGCAAGGGGCGTGGGAAAGGCGGGTCTCCTGCCTTGGACGCTCGCTCGCGGCCCTGCAGAGGTACGGGCCTAGATGCGTCAAGAGGAAGGTGAGCGGCAGTCAAGGGCTTTGTACAGATCCCCCCTTACCCCTGAGGAAGGGGACGCGGCGAGTTCAAAACAGTTTTTAAGAGGTTCGTGAAAGCTAAAATGGACATTTGCAAGACACTCTGGGCAATACAGGTCATCGTGCAGCCACCCTATTTTATTCTCGAAGTCCACTCTGCTGCTTACTTGTCCTTCGAAACTCTAATTTAAACCTTATGCAATGGGAGGCGTCTGCTATGGGTATTCCCAACAGGACAGCCAGCCTGAGGGAGTCGGTCTGGGGAGGCGGGGCGGGGCGGAGGCGCCAGGCCCCGCCCCCTCCTGGCTCTTTGTCTGCAGGCGTGGAGCAGGCTTCCCGCCCTCTGTGTCTGTCTGCGCTTGCTTGCCCTTTGTCAGCGGGGGTCTCCTGTCTGGGTCTGACTGCACCCTTCCGGAAACTGAGTGTCTGTCCCCTCTCTTCCCAGTGCGGGTCTGTGAGGTTGCTGGCAGCTATGCCCCCTGGTGTGTGGAGCTCACAGCCCTGACCTGGGCTGGGAGCGGATCGCATACTTCCCGCCACGTGTCTGCCGGCCTAGGGTGCTTGGGCGGGAGGTTTGACTTTGAAGTCCCCTATGGCGGGTGTGGGAAACTGTCTCCTCCCATCCCCCCACCCCAGATTCTGGTACAGGGCCCACCGCAGCGGGGAGGGTCTGTACGGGAGTGACCTGGGTGGGCCCTGACCCACGCTCTCTCTGAGCAGCAAAAAAGGTGGGCAGCTGGTTCGTTTCCTAGAGGTCAGGTTGAGGTGAAATGCCTGTCCCAGCCAGATGAGGTTAACTCTCCGATCAAGGGGGAAGGAGTAGTGGGTGGGTCAGCTGTCTGCTGTATAGTGCTCCTGTGGTCTGCAGTGTTCAGTGTGCAATGCCTGAGTGTAAGTCAGCGGGGCAGAAGGGTAGAACCTGGACAACAGAAAGCTCATTATTGGGGGTATAGTGACAAGGCAGGTGTCGATCTCCTTGGGATCACACTGATGGACCAGGCTGGCTTTAGACCTCTTTTTAGCCACACTTACATGGCTTCGCAGGTACCGTCCTTCTCTCCCAAATTTCTCCAGGGCTTCCCAGATAACTCTGGCCTTTCATGGGGGGAGGAGGGGCTCAGACAGGAGCTCCAGTGTCCTACCCAGCCTATGGGCAAGTGGGTGGGCTAAAAACCCAAAGTCCAGGCTGGCTGGCTGGGAGACCAGGGCTTCTGGTGGGAGGGGTCTGGCCTCTCCCGGGTTGGGGGCTATAAAGGCCTGATGGGAACTCCAGATGCTCTTCTGAGCTTACGAAGTTCAAGATGCAGGGTGGGCTGGGTATGCATCAAGGTGGACTGTCCTCACAAACTTACTTGTCTACTTTACACACCTGTTAATGGGTTAGTAGGGAGTTGTCTGCTCTAAGCTACTCAACTAAAGCTCAATGGTGTGTGTGCACGAGAGCTACTAGTGTGTGGGTGTGGGTGTCAATGTGTGTACATCCCTCCTGTGGGTTTGTTTATGTGTAGATGTCAGCATTATTATAGGTGGGTGTGTCAAGCTCCAGTCTAATTGCAGGTCGATGTGTGAGCAGGTGTATGTGGGTGTCTGGGGTTTGTTAGAGTAACTGGGTGACTGTAGTCTGTCAGCTGATGGCATCCCCCAGGCCCAGCCCCACTAAAATAACAGTCATGTTAAGGCAGGGAATTCACTCTTGAGTCACAGGTGTGTCCCCAGAGCCAACTGCTGCCTGACACACAATGGCTGCTCAATAAGTGTTACTGGACATGGTGGCTGTGAGACCTGTCACCTCTGTAGTTATTGACAGAAGCCTGAGTTCAGTGAGAATATATCTTTAAAAAAAAAAAAAAAAAAGCTTGGTGTTGTGTTGAACACCTGTAATCCCAGCACTCAGGAGGCAAAACCTAGTTTATATATAATGAGTTACAGTCCAGACCCTGTCTCAGTAACAACAATAGCAAAATAATTTTTTTTTCAGTTTTTTGAGACAGGGTTTCTTTGTGTAACAGCCTAGGCTACTCTGGAACTAGCTGTTGTAGACCAGGCTGGTCTTGAATTCACAGAGGTCCATCTGCCTCTGCCTCCCGAATGCTAGGATTAAAGACATGCACCACCACTGTCCCGATTAACAACAAAATATTGAGCTGTTGAATATCTATGTGGCTCTGCCTCGGGTGTCCTTTCCCTGTGGGTCTGTGTACTGTGTATGCATGTAACCATCGGTGTCTTCCGTGTCTGAGTGGAGGTGGCTGTGGATTAAGTTTCATGTTTTTGTTTGTGTGTTTGTTTTGACATTGGGCACCAAACCCCAGGACCTTGCCATCCTGCCAGGTGAGTACACTGCTTTAACACATCCCCAGATCACTGTTTATTTTGGGGAGGGGGGTTGTTTGTTTGCTTGCTTGCTTGCTTGAGACAGGGTCTCTCAATGAATCCCTGGTTGACTTAGAACTCACTATATAGACCAGGCTGGCCTGGATCTCAATGAGATCTGCCTGCCTCTGCCTCCAGAGTACTGGGATTAAAACTGTGCCCCACCGCACCTGGCCTCCACTTTTTTTTTTTTTTTTTTTTTTTTTTTTTTAAGGCAGTCTCTAAATTGTCCAGGTCGGCTTCTGTAGCTAAGCAGGCCTTGAACTTTCCCTTCAGCCTCCCGAGGGCTAGGTCAGGCTTGTGCCACCGTGTCCAGGTCCATAAGGAGTCATGGCTTTATGTGTGACTGTCTCTGTGTGTATCTGTGTCAACATGCATACCTCTGTCTGGTGGCTCTTTTTAAGATTGCTGAGACCTGCTTTGGACTCATATGAGGGGTGTCCTTATTTGGAGGTGGGTTTGCAAACCAAGTTACTACGGGGACCATCCTGCACCTGTGGTTGTCAGTTATTCTGGGAATGTGAGTGATGAGGTGACGGTGGACACCCCTAGTGTGTCTCTATATTGTGCCACCTTCCACTGGTGACTGTTCCTTTGCAGGGGTGTTTCCACAGCCTTTGTGGGTGCAGTGTGTGCATGGGTGGCGGTGTTGTGGTTGACTGTGCTTAGGATATAAGATTATTAATGGGATAGTGTGTGTCTGTGTCACGCTGTATGGCTTTTAGGACTTTGATGACTTGAGACTAATTTTGGTTTGGCAAGTGCGTCTGTGAGCGGTGGGGGATGGGTGGGAAGGAGATGGGGAACCCAAGTGTGATGGGGGTACTTTCTCAGCCCCCAGTTAGCCAAAGAGGTGGTTTCTGCAGCCCCCAGCCCCAGCATGCATGCCCTCATGGGCGAGGTCCCCGGGAAAAGCGCCCAGTCGCTTTAAAGCTAGGGCTCCTCAGCAGAGTGATCGGGGCCATCTTTCCTTTCTGCGGCCACTTTTGGAGGGCGGGTTCCAGTTGGCAAACCTTGTCTCCCGCAGATGCAGTCCGTGCTCCCGGCCCTGGG